TTAAAAGTAAATATTAAAAAAATTCCTAAATATTTAAGCAAATAGAAAAGATAGGAGGTTCTTATTTTATATTCTAGCAAGTCAATATTGGTACTTTGAGTTCCTAATTCGTAAGAAACTACAGACATTGTATTTGGACATCCCAAGTATCTAATTTGAACCAATGCTGCATTCAACATACCAATGTGACACACAAAAATGGATATTTAGGAATTTTTTTAATATTTACTTTTAAATTACAAAATTAGCTAATGTATAATACTAAAATTTGAATTATAATCTACAATTTGATACCAAACTTATTCACATACATTTAGAAAGTAGTAGTTCAATAAAATTGTGAATGTGAGTCTACAAATGCAATGATATGGCTTTGACCTGTGACCCGTAAACATAGGGTAAACAATAAAATTGTTTCATTCAATTTTGAATGTAACTTTGTCAACAAAAAGTCATGACATGTGCACTTTGATCCTCTTATATGCATAATTAATAATATATTAAATTAGCATTAACAGGGCAACTATGATACAAATTTAATGCTATAACTACTATTTTGCACTTTTTTAGTTTAATGATCATTGCTGCTATATAATGCAAATTTAATTTCTTTCACCAAGTTACTAATGGTAATTAGTAGGCCTACTTATTTACTTGCTATAATTTCAATGACAAATTTGGGGTCCGCTTTTACAAAACACCCAGATTCCTTAAGGGGTTGGGTGAAAATTTTTACCTTTGTGCAAACCTCGGGGCCCAAGACGATTCATTCAGCTCCATTCAGCACACTTTTGGCCCTATAGCCAACATTTATAAGGCTCCTATAATGAAAATTTAATGACTGAACTACTAAGGGGTTGGGTCAAAAATGTTACCTTTGTGCAAACCTTGGGGCTGAGAAAATTTGTTTGTCACTCTTACAGGGCTGCTATATTGCAAATTTAATGCTTGAACTACTAATATTTACATACTTTAATGTTAAGCAATATCAAACTTGGAGTTTACTTTTGAGGAATACACGTAAAAGTTTTTTGCAAAACACCCGGGTTCCCTAAGGAGATGGGTGAAAAATTTTACCTTTGTGGAAATCTCATGGCTGAGACAATTGGTTTAGCACCATTTAGAAGTTTGTGAGTCCAGCAGTTTAGTAGAAGGGGTTTTCAGGAAATCCTCAAGTTCCTCAAGATGTGGAGTGAAAACGTTTACATTTGTGCAAACCTTGGAACTGAGATGATTTGTTTGGTAACATTTAGAAGTTGGTGCAACCAGCAGTTTGAGAGGAGTTATGTGAAACACATACAAACAGATAATTAATGTTATTATATAAATACCTGTCAACCAAAAACAGCCATTTAATTTTTTTAAATATGTAAACCAGTACAGAATTTTTGATTCTCTAAATCTCCTTACTTCCATCTTTTGTTGCTTGTTCTTCATTCCACTTTATCCTATGCATCATCAGTTGTTTGAACTTTTTCTGTTGTTTAGGTCCTAAAAATACATATTAATGTAAGTATACATTAAAAATTATAATTGTGCATATATTAAAATATTCATGAAAAATTAAGACATAAGCTCTTCATGGCAAAAATAGAGCTAGTAATATGGCCCAAATTGTCAACTGTTTTAAATCTTTTCCATCAATTGTAATTTTAACCTCACTTCAATAATTAATAACAAAAGTTTATTTCCTGTGTAAATAAATGAAATTTCTCATTATGACCACCAGGGAGTAAGTACAACACAATCAAAATTTGGATAAGTTATTTATTAATTGATATATTCTATACCAAACCTATTATAAATGATTCTTTGCACATAGTTTTTATTGCTCAAAAGCAAGTAAAAAATAAACAGGGATTTGCCACAGTGTATCAAGCTTACTAGCCTGAACGATTCATTTAAAAAATATGTTTTATATTTTTTCTTCATTTGATATTAACTCACTTGCTATGAGGTCAGCTGATTTGACCTACCTCATAACCATTTTGTACTCATTATAGTTTCTATACTATAAATTTTGACACAGTAGGTATATCTTCGCAAAATATGGCAGACTTTTAGTGAACATTACAAGCCTTTTGCACAAAAAAAACAAGATTTTTTATTGAATTTTTTAATAAAGATCTGTCCATAAATATATACAGTATCATTTTTACTAGTCCGAGTGCAAAGTAATTTCCACGTCAAGATTAAAATAATTTTCCTCATCTCAAACCCCTTAAATTTAATTTGCATAATCCCTAAAACCTTCTCAGTAAATTTCAAACGTTTTTTCTCAGTACAACTTTATATTCTATCTCAATTATCTGTTATTTTTTCTACCATAACTCTACACAAGGTTGGTCAGTTTGACTGACTTCGTAACCACCAAAAAAATATAAATAAACCTAAATTACCTAATTTTTCTTAATAGAATGACTTCAAAATCTAACAAAAAACTACATTTGTTTATCCTAAATAACTTTAAACTCGTAAACAGTATACATCTATTTATACTTAAATTTTATTGTTTCATTGCCCTTTGAATTGTGTCTAACTACTATTTGCACCATTATAAGTTGTAAATCACTTAGTAAGCGTGCAGCTCATGTTACGCTATCAAATTACATCACACATGAGTTACTCACGAGAATACCTTGTGAAAAATTTTCATTGTATAATTATTTATTTCATATTAACTAATCTAAAAAGTTTACTATTTTTTTAAATTCTATTTACTTTTGTAATAATAAGTAAAGAATACGCATGAAAAGCAAGAAATAAAGTACTTACATGGTTCTTCTTTTTTTTGCTGTTGACTGTTAACAACATTTAGCCCTATTTTCTATACTAATGTTATTTGATTAAATATTGCACCAAAGAACACAGAATAATAACATGCAAAAAACAGATAATGTTCTATAACTTTCACAATTTCTCTGACTTTCTAACTATGTAACAAGAGCCATTAAAAATTCATCTTTTGTGCTTCCTGTGGGAAAAAAAGTATGAACAGAAAGCAAAATTGACAATTCTCTGTATGGAAAACAAAATAATATCATACATCATTTGATAGATTAAAACCTTGACTTTCTATTGGTTATAAATAATATAGCATTGAACTTCAGAGAGAACTACTGTCAATTTCTGAAAGAGAGGATGTGACAGGTGGGCGTGTCAAGAGGGGTCTTGATTGTCTACTATTTCTGTAGCTATATAAGATTGAAGGCTATACAAACTATGCTTTGCCTGAGCAATGATGATATTCTACTAAGTAATTTAAATTCCGTACTTCTTGAAGGGGTGGTAAATAAATAGAGAAGAGGGGATGCCTAGAGAGAAAATGTCACAATTCTCCCACTAGGAGAAATTCGGGATTTTTCAAATATTGCCTTATAAAATTAAGAACTTCAAACATATATTCTATTAAATTATGGATTATTAGCTACATTTTTATTCTCTATTTATTGGTATACCATGAAAAGTAGCTTAATTAGATTTTGAATGTATCTCGCTAAAACATTGTGACATGTGCAGAAAAAAATTTTCATGGAGAGAAGGTTAAAAGCATCAAATACAATCAGTTTTATGACATGAGAGTATCTTTATATTCGAAAAACCTAGAAACTCTTTTTCCACACACACACCAATATATATAATTTCTTTAGTTTCTACAGATTCATAGTTTCTTTGATGTTGTCTTCCAACTGCATAATGTTCATCATCACTAACACTAAACAATCAAAATTTATATGTATAAGTAATTAAAAAACTTTTGCAACATGTTAAATATTTTTTGCTTTTACTAACTGAGAATCATTGAGTTTATAGATTAATTCTGTATAAAATAAACAATACAAGTTTAGGTTCAACACAATATAAAGGAAAATTTTGGAAATAAAAACAATCCTAAGTATATTTTAGGGTATCATAACAGGTATTAAAAAAATAAGAGTAAATAATGTAGCAAAATTTCATAAGTTTCCCCTATGTTATATAGACACGCTCTAAGGTACAACTTATATGCACACTTAACTTTAAAAGGCAGTATTTCTTCTTACCTCCTTCTACTACAACAACATTAACATTTCTGTACAAAACTACACAGCCTGTCATGAACAACTGATTGGAATTCATTTCCACTTTGAATTTCTTGGCTGGATTGGTTAGGTTTAAAATCCTAGTGAGGATAAGAAACAAGTAAAACAAAATTATATCTAGTGCAAATACATTCAACTTATTACAAAAAATAAAAAGTGTTTGGGTAAGACTAGAATTATTTACATGGCTGAAATTAAAATATTTGCTACAAACTAATGTAGAGGATGTATTTTTACAAGTTAAAAATTCCAATTGTCACAAAGATGGTTCATCTTCATGATACTTAAATAATTTCAAAGTCATGTTACTTTTTTTTTCATAGCTATGTAATTCACTGCACATAAAATGGCCACAATTTTTAAAGAAAATTTCTAGTACATCTAACTTATTCCAACTAAACTTATTTTAGCACTCAATTTAGACTTATTGCAACAACTGCTGTTACAGATTTAGCTAACTTAAAATATAACTTAGATACTGACTTAATACGTTAGTTAATTGGCCTTAAAAGCAATGTTTTGGTTCAGATTTGCACAGCAAAATTTAAGCCTCTTAAAACCAGAAAAGACTAACTGCTACTTTCAAAGAAAATTTACTTTAAATACCTGTATTTTGCTGGTTGTTCAATCATACTTTCTGCAGTACAAAATAAGTTTTGACAGGCAGTTACTGAGCTCTAAATAATATTTTAAATCACAAAAACGTACAGGGGAACCTCATATTTTTTTATTCTACTCAATGTAAATTACTTTATACTAAGCTGAAACCTGTTCTTATATTTTAACTTCAAATAGGTAGTTCATAATTAATTTGTTTTAAAATCATCTAATAGTAGATTGAAAAAGGTAAAGTATATTAATTACATTTCATGGGAATTGCATTAAATGTCAAATTCAAGGTAGTGGATGGTTATACATGATAATGATACTGTTAAAGCTTAAACACACTGTTTAATTATATTTTACATCATTCCAAAAACAGCAAAAGTTAGAAAGGAATAAACCAAATTAATGAATATAAACAATCAGAAAGAGGTGATTATCATCCCATACCAAACCCCTTGAGCTAACAAGACATTTGATAGATAGCCATTAGTCTATGAGTCAAAAGACAATAAAATAAAAAAATATAAAATGATAGTAACATATCTTATACATTACAAAATTCTGATATACACAGGGTTATCTATAAAAATAACAACAACAAAAAGGTTTTGGAAAAAAGAACAAAATTATACTAATATAACTACAGAAACAGATATTAAAAGATAGCAACTATTAAATATCCAATACAAAAATGTTAGCTAAATAAGTTTACAGTTTGTTGAAGTTTTGTGGTGCTCCCAAGATCTGACATTAAAATAAATTATCATTCATATTTTAAAATCAAATAGCTTTATTAATAACTTCATTCCTTTTTATTCTAAACAATGGTTAAACTTAAAAATATATTTTACTTTATTAAACAGTTTTTAAAGAGATGTTTTGTGACATTCATACGTCAAAATGACAAATACATCATGTAAAGAACATTTTGGGTATCATATTATGTTAAAAATCTAGATGACTTTTATGCTCCACCAAATAATGTGAGGACCTTATACCACCTTTGAACCGATCACATATTCAAAACTGTTATTATTCATTCTCTTTATGACAGTTGGCCCATAGTAACAATAGACTATAGAATATGATGGTATCCACCAAAGTTCTTTAAAATGTAGCTAGAAACAGAAGGTTTATTTGATTTTTAAGAACAAAGGTACATAACAGTCTATCTGTGTTGTGTCTACTGGAAACAAAGTGGTTGACATCAGTGTTTAAATTAAAGGAAGTTTTTTCCAAACAAATTAATAATGCTCAATCTAAGGTAATCTACAGCAACAATAAAATATAAATAATATGCTACATGGTAGTGTTGGTTATTTTATCTGTTCTAAGTCAGCAGAGTAGTAGTGTTTTAGACTGAACAGGTTAAATATTTGACTATTGCTCAAATTGTAAAAGATGTTAATGTGTACAGGTTAATATGAAATGCTGACCTATAGACAGTAACATGCACTCCAAGGCTGGTATCTTCTTTCAGTTTTTTTACTTTTTTTTCTCTTCGCTGTTCCACAGTTAGTTTTCTGGCTGCATTAGCTTCTTCATGGGCTCTATATTAAGAACAAGTGCAGAAACTGTAACATGTGAACTTTTTTGAAGGTATTTTTGTATAAACTAGTTTCAATAAATGTAGCAATAATAATAATAAATTTTCAGTATTAACTGACTGTAATTGATATATACATATATATAGATAGACTTTTGGTAATAGTGAAAATAAGTATAAATTACAACTTTGAACTGTAATTGTTTTTAATATGAAGCTAACTGATCTTCAGTGAGACTTTTTGATTAGCCTTGAAGTCACATATATTGGAAGAAAACAATCTGTAATAGTATTTTCAAAATATAAATGTATGTGTATACTGGAAAAGTAAGTGAAATGATGATATACAGCATGTTACACCTATTTTTTGTACAATGATAAAATATAAATACATTCTTATAATTTAGTTTAAAACATTGGCATGAAACACTATTTTCCATCTCTTAGCTAAAAGCACAAACAAACTAACAGTTTCTTTGATTAAACATAAAGTAATATACATGAACTATTTAAGTCTCTTAATATAGTTACTGTCACAGACTTGTTTTAACTTTGTTATTTTTGTTTTTCAAAAGAAATTGAATGAGTGTACATACAGTCATATCACTAGAGGGCAATTTGTAAACTAGTAATAAAAATTAGTTGTATATACATACTGGACTTTAAGTACAAAACACAGAAAAACATTGAAACCCACATGGTTCATTTGATAATATTCAAATTAATATAAAGATATAATAACGTATAACAGGAAGCCTAACGCTCTGTATTCTATAGAACTTACAATATATGTATTAGTGATGTTACTATTTATATTATTCATCTACTATAATATCTTGGTTGTTTGCAGTGCTTATGATAGCTACTTACCAAGCCAGCAATGTAATTGTCTAATATCATTTTAACAAATGATATTTTCAATCATACATAAAGCAAGTTTAAAAAATTCCTCTCAAATATATCATAATTTTTCATATACAAACTTTTCATTAAGTTAAAAACAATGTCAAAAACTCACTTTTGACGTTTAGCCATTTGTTCTCTCACATGTTGTTCAATCTTTGTGGGGTCCTGAACTGCCTGTGTTCCCAATACTCTCATCAAATTGGATAATCTTACTATAAAGTTTAAAATACATATATAACTTTTAATTTCTACCACAATACAAAACAAATTTATTTGCACAATTACCTACTATTTTTTCTAATTACATAAAAAATCTCAGTTATATATATGTTTTAACATGTATATACATGTCATGACGAGTTTAAGAGTGCTCCAAATATTTCAATTTTCTGACAGTTTACAAAGGTTTATCATATTAAGAAAGCATACTAATACAATCTATACAAATTTCATTAATGATTCCAAAAAAGAAACTTGTTAAAAAAATTGGAATAAAAAATAAGTGCTTCTAAACAGCATATTCAATATTCTATCATAACCTCTATTAGTTGAATCATAATATTTATAAATAAATACTGAAAAGTATGACTGGCAAATGAATAAAACAAACTGCACATTTGAGTTTTCTTTGCATAAATATTTACTAAGCAAATAAAAATATCTTTACTTTTAATTACCATTAACATTAAAATTATGAAATCTACACATTTAAAGCTAATACAAAAAAATCTTTTTAGTCCCAAAACAAGATTCTTGTGAACTATGTAATGCTTAAATCATTACTTGCATTTTTTCATTTATATCTTTCTAAATTATATGAATACCAAAGTAACTTAATCTACATAAGAACCACGTTTCTATGTCCAAGATCAAATAAGATCAATGCTCTTAATTAAGAAATAGAAAGTTTATGGGCAAAAGAATACTTTTACAGTTTTAAGTGTATTTTTATCATAACATCAAGCCATAGTTATTTAACCTTTTGGTTCTGGTGGAGGTTCTAATCCAATACGTATTTTCTCCTGTTTTTCCTTCCAAGCTTCTCTCCTGTTCTGTCTCCTTAGCTTCTTCCTCTCCTTCTTAGTAAGATATACAGGCAAATGAGTGGGTTTCATGGGATCAGCTAGAAATAACAGAAAACTTTTCATTTTAATATTTTACACTTGAATGTATATATATATATTTTGTTGAATACTGATGAAAATAAAAATAGTACACCTTCAGTGACATTTTCATGATGCTTATAACTATTAGATAATGATGATAAAAAGGAGAGCTCACAAGTATGAAATAATTCAATTACTGGAATAATTAAAAAATAATATATAAATATATACACACACACATATCTCTGGAAGGTTTAAAAAAAGTTAAGTATGATTACATTGTTTTCTTTTACAAGGAACTGATCACCTAGTGTGTGGCACTCAAGTCACAGTTGCCGATATTTTACTTTTGGGCAGTTGCTATAGTAGTCAACAATAGTTGGATTTTCAACACTGGACAGTGTCATAGGCAGTGATGACACTCTCCAGGGTGATTGTGTTTTTTTTGGGGGGGGGCATAGACATTTCGGTAAGAAAACTATAGCCACTGCAGAGTCTTGCAAGGAGAACTTCCTCTCTCCAATTCCTACACAAACAATAACAGTATGCTTTAACTCAAAAAGTTTGTACATTGTTGCCAACCCCACGTCAAGAGTATTTGACTTCTTCACGTGACTCAATGAAAGATCACAGCAAAGGATGATAACATGGGGGTGTGGGGAGGGGTGTTGAGCATTAGTTTTAGCAACATCATCAAACGTTAGACCCAGTTCAGTCAACTTTTGCCCAAATATGAAGGCTTGTGTAGATCTGAAACCCCTGATGATGCATAGTGTCCAACATCGTCAATGCAGAATCCCTGCAGTATAGACAAGAGTACCCGTATATCAGGGCACAATCAATCTTCAGCATAGAACACCTATCCATCCACTAAGGAATGGAAAATGTTCAGTGCCCATATATATATATTTGAGTTGAAACTATTTAATGTATGAAGTAGAAGTCAGTTTTATTGTCAAAGAGAAGTCCTAAAAACTTTGCCACATCCACAACAGAAATTTGTACACCTCACAGAGCTCGGTATCATGGTGCAATCCCTGCCAGTGGTAAAAATGCATGTAACAAGTATTAATTAATGAAATTTTAAAATTGAATGCAGTGGTCCACTTACCAAATTTAATGAGAGCAGTTTGAAGCTGCTGTTGTGAAAGTCCCAACAGCTAAGTTTAAAATGGCAAGCACATATAGTGTCTACGTGACTGGAAAGCTGGATCGCCAAAGGTGCAACTTTGTCATAGATTCTGCATCTCAGCAAACCCTTGTGAGTATCAAGCTGCTAGATCACAAAGGAGTACCAGAAGCCATAGAGAAGCTCTGTGGTGTGACAGGACATTATTCAAGGTTGTGGGGACCAGTGTGGGTAACTATTGAGCTCATGGGCTTAAAGGACAGACACAAAGTATACTTGGCTGACATTGAAGACCAATGCATACTAGGAATGAACTACTTATTACCAAGGAAGTGTGTAGTTAATTTTGATAAAATGACGTTTGGGAACAACAAAAGTCAAATTCTGGTAAGTGTTAAAAGAGAGGTTGGACTAACCAGGTGCAGCTGAAGTCAAAG